AGGTTCTAGTCCCGGTCAGGGCGCCGGATTCTGTCCCGGTTGCCCCTCTTCCAGGCCAGCTCTCTGCTGTGGCCAGGGAGTGCAGTGGAGGATGGCCCAGGTGCTTGGGCCCTGCACCCCATGGGAGACCAGGAAAAGCACCTGGCTCCTGGCTCCTGCCATCAGATCAGTGCGGTGCGCCGGCCGCAGCGCGCCGGCTGCGGCGGCCATTGGAGGGTGAACCAACGGCAAAGGAAGACCTTTCTCTCTGTCTCTCTCTCTCACTGTCCACTCTGCCTGTCAAAAAAAAAAAAATTGTACAAAATGTAGTTGAGATGAGAAGGTTAACAAGATGAGAACAGAAAACTACACTCCATTTTGGAACAAAGGGGCCATGTGGACCCTGTGAGGATCAGTTTGGTGGACTGGTTGAGTAAGAAAATAGACTGGGCTACTCTATGGATTAAATAGGAAATGCCAGAAAATGGAGACCTGTTAAACAGTATTTCCATTGTGTATTCAAATTTCACTGTGATTTATGATCTTTCTAAGTAAATTTTTATTCTTTTCTCCATTTGAATATTTTTAGAATCTATTGTGTATCTCCAGGGTTTTCAAATGTAATAATGAGTGTGCTTTCTTTATAATTAAAAAAAATCCATTCGGCAAGGCCTTCTATGAGCTCTGTGAACCTAGAACATCATGCTCGTCAGTTCTATGAATCATCCTTGCAGAACTTCTCTTAATTTCCTTCTTTACATTTCGTTCCCCACTTTTATGGAACTACATTTACGATTATATTTTTCTCTATTTCTGAATGTACTTTCTTCCTATTTTTCATTTTTTATACTAATTTTGAAGGTACTTCCTCAACTTCTAAAAATTTAGAAATATTTCTGTTTATAGTATCTCTAGCTTCCCTCAGCTGTTTTAACAAAGCATTTTTGTGCTTTGGTTGCAAAACCCCTTTTACTTCTATCATGATATTAATTATGCATGATTGTGTGCTATTATTCACACATTTTCTTCATTCTTTTCTCTGTTTTTGTTCTTGTGAGAATGCTTTCATCTTTAGTATTTTCTTTTGACAGGCAGAGTTAGACAGTCAGAGAGGGAGAGAGAGAGAGAGAGAGAGAAAGGTCTTCCTTCTGTTGGTGCACCCCCCAAATGGCTGCTATCATCAGCGCACTGAGCCAATCCAAAGCCAGGAGCCAGGTGCTTCCTCATGGTCTCCCATGCGGGTGCAGGGCCCAAGCACTTGGGCCATCCTCTACTGCACTCCTGGGCCACAGCAGAGAGCTGGACTGGAAGAGGAGCAACCGGGACTAGAACCCAGGGAGCTGGCGCCACAGGCAGAGGATTAGCCAAGTGAGCCGCAGCGCCGGCCTCATCTTTAGTATTTTCCATGCAGACCTTGCTTATCGTCTAGGATATGCAGCTCTGAACACACACTTGAAAAGGTGGCAGACAAGATCGCTGGGGAGCTGTTTCTGGGCTGGACTGCTGACTCACAGCTCTCCATTCGTCAGTGGACCTACAGAGAACGCAAATGAAGCCCTTCTCTTTAAGACTACTCGTTTTTTTCTGGAGATTTTCCATATTCTGTCTGGAAGTAGAAACCTTAGTAGCAGGGATGGGGCTAGCTACTTCATTCAATTTTGGGGCTTGAATGTGATCCTCTGTCTTCAGCACAGTACATTAACTTGTGCCAGTGTTCCATCTTCATAATCAAACTGAATAATCCTCCCGAGACCTGCTTGGTGGGTAGGTAGTCCTCTCTCTTTGTGTATCTTTTTGTGGCATCTGTGTCTCTGCTTTTTTTATTGAATTTAGTGAAACACAACAAATTCTAGTTCCGACTCATACTAATTTCCCGACTTGCAGATACTCACTATCTCCAATTACGAGTCTCCTGGAGACTTCTAAAAATCACCTTTCTTCTCTTTGCCTCTGTCCTACAAAGGTTTCCTATAGCAGATAAATTTATGTTCTAATGATATAAATCATCTATCACTCATTCATCCACCATCTAACATAAAAATTAATTATCTTTTATGTTCTTTAACAGTTAGGTTATTACTTTTTAAAATGTGTTTGTAATTTCCTTACAATGCCTTTTTTTAAAAACAGCAGATAAAAATGAATGCATTCAATCTTCCCTTCTGAAAATAAATATACCATTAAAGCATAAGGCAAAAATCTCAGCTGAGAAAAATAGGTATATAAAGAAAATAGGGTTTGGAAGAAAGGGCCATGTAGAAAACAACTGTTTTGGGCCTGCACCATGGCTCACTAGGCTAATCCTCCGCCTTGCGGCGCTGGCACACCAGGTTCTAGTCCCGGTCGGGGCGCCGGATTCTGTCCTGGTTGCCCCTCTTCCAGGCCAGCTCTCTGCTGTGGCCAGGGAGTGCAGTGGAGGATGGCCCAAGTGCTTGGGCCCTGCACCCCATGGGAGACCCGAAGAAGCACCTGGCTCCTGCCTTCGAATAGGCGCGGTGCGCCGGCTGCGGCGCACCGGCCACGGTGGCCATTGGAGGGTGAACCAACGGCAAAGGAAGAGCTTTCTCTCTCTCTCTCTCTCTCTCACTGTCCACAAATAACTGAGCTATTTTGGTATTAGCATATAATCTGGTGTTCAGGGCAGAGGTAGAGACAAGCACTGTGTGGGTGTTGTTTCAAGGAAGGGATCTAATGAGACCATGGAATCTCGGGTTAACAAGAAAGATACAATCAAAATGACAATGGGTACAAAGCAGACCAGCGAATTCACCATCACAGTGGTGATGTCTGCTGTAACACTAGGATGTGAGGGATCACTTTGGAGCGGCTGACCATATTCAAAGACTGATGTCCCATTCAGGAGCTGGCTGAAGCGTAATTTCTCACTGCTGACAGGCACTGCGGTGCAGTCACCGAGCAGTGGTGAGCTGCAGAGGTCCAACATCCAAGACGCAGAGAACCTGCAAGGCCAAGCAACCAGAGGACGAAGCCAGAGTCCAGGTTTGAAGCTCTGGGTCTTTTTATCCAAGAATTCTTTGACATTTGAATGTCAATAATTAACTACTTGAAGTGTTCTTTTTTTGTTGTTGTTGTTATATTATCAAATGCAACTTTGGGGTGAGAAATTTGAAGTAGAAATTTCATGAGTAATGTGTAACAAGACCACAGTGTAATGAGATGAGAGTGTAATTAGATTACGGTATTAACATTCTGAATCCAATCATAGGAATTAAACAGAGTAATGTATATGATCAAAGTTACCTAGTGGGGTTGGCACTGTGGCGCAGCGGGTTAACGCCCTGGCCTGCAGCGCTGGCATCCCATATGGGCGCGGTTCTAGTCCTGGCTGCTCCTCTTCTGATCCAGCTCTCACAGCCCAGGTCTTTGGGCCCCTACATCCACATGGGAGACCCAGAGGAAGCTCCTCGCTTCTCTCCTTACCTCTCTGTCTCTATCTCTCTTTGTAATTCTGCCTTTCAAATAAATAAAATAAATCTTAAAAAAAAAATTACTTAGTGGACTGTCCACTAACTTTTAGTTAAACTGAATCTCTGAAAGGGCTTTTATTAAAAAGCTCCATATCATTGTTGAGTAATAGCAAAAGCAAAAATTTTGTTTTATGGCTACCCTTCCATATGAATTACATTGTATTATAGTGAAAAGTGCCTACCTTCTGAGTACATTCCCATTTGAATCAGTATTCCTGAAGTTTGGAGGGCCGTGCAATAAAATAAAATTTCCAAACCGATTACCGAACAATTGTAAGATATAGCGATCACTTAGGAAACTCTGTTCCCTTTGTCCAACTTTATTGAGATTCAGCTGGATATCATTTCTATGTATACATTTATTTTGTAAAATTTAATGATTTAATATATGTTTACAAAGTGAAATATTTATCAGAGTCAGGCTACTATCATGCGTCACAGGGATGTTAGTTTTCGTGGGTGCGTAGTAAGGACACTTAAGATCTGCCTTGTCAGCAGATTTCAGGTTAACCAAACACACATTGCTGCATATAATATCTCCAAAATACATTAATCCTTCAAAAATGAAATATTGAACCCCTTGAACAACATCTCTTCATGTTCTCTTTCTGCAAAGCCTGGTAGTTATAATTCTAATGCACTGCTATGAGTTTGGCATTATTAGCTTCTGCATAAAAGTGAGATCAAGCAGTATTTGAGTTTTTGTACCTAGCTTATTTCACTTAGCATAATGTCCTAAAAGTTTATCTAAGGGCCGGTGTAAGGGCACAGTAGGTTAAGTCACAACTTACAACACTGGCATCCCCTATCCGAGGGCCAGTTCAAGTACTGGCTGCTTTACTTAGGATCCCACTTCCTGCTAATGCACCTAGGAGAGCAGCAGCAGGTCACCCAACTACCTGGGACTCTGTCACCCATGTGGGAGCCATTTGCTGCGTGAACCAGCAGACACAAGCTCTCTCTTTCCTCTCTCCCTTCTGTCACTCTGCCTTTTAAACAAACTTTTTATAAAAAACTTATCCACGTTGCTGCGAATGGCAAGATCTGTTTTGTTTTCCATTGACAAATAGGATTTCGGTGTGTGTGAAGTTTTCTTGATTCCCACTTTGGATAATTCACTGTCCATGTATAGAAATATGATTCACTTTGTATGCTGATTTTGCATTGCATAACTTCAGCATATTTAATACTTGTTTTAAAGATTTATTTATTTGAAAGGTAGAGTTACAGAGATGCAAAGGCAGAGAGAAAGAGAAAGAGAGAGAGAGACAGACAAACAGAGGTATTCTATCCATTGCTTCACTCCCGAGATGGCCCCAATGGCTGGAGCTGCACTGATCAGAAGCCAGGAGCCAGGAGCATCCTCCGGGTCTCACAGGTGGGTACAGGGGCCCAAGGGCTTGGGCCATCTTCCATTGCTTTCCGAGGCCACAGCAGAGAGCTGGATTGGGAGTGGAGCAGCCGGACCCGAATCATGCAACCACAGGTGGCAGCTTTACCTGCTATACCACAGCTCCAGTCCCTATTTAATACTTTTAACAGACTTTTTTGGATAACAGATTTTTTCTTGGATCTTAGGTTTTTTTTTTATCATAGAGGATAATGTCAACAGCAAGCAGAGATAATTTTTTAAAAGATTTATTTATATATTTGAAAGAGTAGCAGAGACAGGAAAAGCAGATAAGGGGAGATGTTCCAGCTACTGGTTCACTGTCCAAATAGCCCGGTGCTAGGAGTTTCATCTGGGTCACCCAGATGGGTGGCAGGGCCCAAGTACTTGGCCTGTTTTTAACTTCTTTCTCAGGCCAATAGCAAGGAGCTGGATCAGAATTGGAGTAGCCAGGACACAAACAAGCTGCCATTAGGACATGGCAACACAGGAGAAGCTTTATCCTCAATGCCATGCCAACCCCACGCAGAGATAATTTTATTTCTTGCCTTCTGATTTCTTTTTCTTCTCTAAGTCCTCCTACAGGATAGCTAGTACTTAGTACTAAGTTGAAAAAAAAAAGTAGCAAAATTGGGCAAACTTGCCTTGTAGCTAATTTCTCTTTGCTTATGGAGTTAGCTGTGTGGTTTTCATATACAGCTCTTACTGTGCAAAGCTGGGTTCCTCCAGTATCAGGTTTTTTTGAGTTTTTAATCATGAATGGATGTTAACAGATGTCAAATGCTCTTTTTGCATGTGTTGAGATGATTCTTTTTCTTTCATTTTGTCAGTGTGCTCTATCACATTTTTTGTTAGCAAATCCTGAACAGTTCCAAAGATTATTACCACTTGGTCATGATCCTTTTAGTAAATATACTGTTAATTTCAACTTACTGATTTTTTTAAGGATGTTTGCATCTTTGATCATCAGCAATATTAGACTGTAGGGTTTTTTTTGTTGTTGTTACTTGTAGTTGTTTGCCTGTTTTTCTTATAAAGGCATTTAAATTTTTTTTCCTTATTTGAAAGGCAGAGAGACAGAGATAGAGACAGAAATACACAGAGAGATCTTCCACTATCTCATTCACTCTCTGAAAGTCTTTTTCAACCAGGACTGGGCCATGCCAAAGTCAGGATCATGGAACTCAATCTAGGTCTCCCATAGGGTGGCCAGTATTCAAGGGCTTGAGGCATCACGTGTTGCCTCCCAAGGTGCACATTAGCAGGAATAGGGATGAGAAGAGGAGCTGGAACTCTAACTCTAGCACTCTGATGTGGGATTCAGGCATCCCACGAGGAATCCTAAATACCAGGCCAAACATCAGCCACACCTTTTACTCATCAAGGCTATGTTGGAAAGTTATTTTCTGGAAGAGTTAGGAAGAACTGGTGTCAATTCTTTGCATGTTTTATAAATTCAGCCATGATGTCATGCAGCCCTGGGCTCTTCTTGGAAAATTTTTGATTACTTATGCCATCTCCTTATTTGTTACTGGTCTATTCAGGTTTTCTATTCCACCTTGACTCAATGTGGCAACTCGGATATTTCTAGAAATTTACCCATTTTATCTAGATTACCAATATTTTTGGAATATAATTGCTAACAGGGGTCAATTATGATCCCTTTACCTCTGCGGCATCTGTTGCAGTGTCTTCTCTTTCAGTTCAGATTTTATATATCTGCATCTTCTTAACTAAGGACTTGATTTAAAAAAAAGCTCATTGTCATTTTTTTCTAATTCTTTATTTCTGCTCTTTTATTTCCTCTACTTTGCTAGCTTTGAGTTGAATTTAATGTTCTTTATCTAGTTCTTGAGCTTATTTTGTTCACTTGAGATCTTTCTTTATGCTTACAGTAGATATTTATCCCTACTAACTTCTCTCTTAATGCTGCTTTTGTCCTACCCCATAGATTTGGTATGCTGTCTTTGTGTTTTCATTTGTCTCATCAATGTTTTGAACTATAATTTGAAGCTAATTCAAAAATTCTCTTTGTTTCTGCCTGAGACACAGCAAGAAGGAGAAAGAGCAGGAGCAACAGTGAGAGCAAAAGCAAGTGAGCCCCAAATGCTCACTGCAGTCTGGAGGCCCACGCTGGAAGCCACAAACTCAATCAAGGTCTACCACATGGGTGGCACGAACCCCACCCTGAGATGTCACTGCCAACACACAAGATCTGTGCCAGCAGGAAGCTGGACCAGGCGCTGGACTGAGGTCTCCCACACGGGTGGCATGAACCCCACCTTGAGATGTCACTGCCGGCTCACAAGGTCTGTGCTGGCAGGAAGCTAGACTCAGGAGCTGGACTGAGGGAATGAACCCACGTACTCGAATCTAGGATGCAGGTATCTTAATGGTGTCCTAATTAGTACTCCAGATGCCCACCTCCAGAGTAATTCTGATTCATTCTCTACCCCATATTTATTTTTCATGCATCTGTAAAATTTTCATTTTTTCTCACTGCTTTCTAGTTGTCCCCCACTGTAGAGAGAATTCCCAGAAAACAGACTTGTAATGATGTCAGACATCATCATTTCTGATTTTTTACAATCTGTCTTAGGACCTACCATGGAACGTACCCTGAAAGTACTCTGTAAATGTGAGAAGTGTGTGGGTTCTTCTTATACTGGTTCTGTATGTTAGGTTCATTGGATCTCTTGTGTTTCCAAGTCAGTTGTTTAACACTTTTCTGTCTGGATGTTCTGTTCTTAATTTAAAATAAGGTATTAGAGTCTCCAGTATAATCATTGTACTTCTGTCAATTTTTGTGCTAAGATCTTCTAATAGTTGTGTTATAAAGGTAGGTACTGTGAGTTGGATGCACTGACCTCTTTATTACTGTGCAATGACCTTACTTGGGTCTAGCTGTTGTGGCTATTTGGGGAGTAAAAACAGATGCAAGCATTCTGGTATGTGTGTGTCCTCTCACTTCTTGAAAGTAAAAAAAAATCCAGACAAATAGAGACAATTTCAGGTTTAAAATACAGTTTAGCTGCCATTATGTATACTCACTCTTGCTGTTTTAGTTCCTGTTTATTTATTTTTCAATTCAATCACTTTCAGCCTATACATATAAATTTAAACAGTCTCTCATAGATCATCACAGGGTATTGTTTTAAAATACATTCAACCACTCTATGTCTTTTTATCAATGAATTAAATCCATTTAAACTTAATGTAATTATTGATAACAGAGGACATAATGCTATTTTGTTAAGTTGTCTATTTTATATTTGTTTTATTCTTTTTCTCTCTTGATGTATTCCTTTGTTATATGATGATTTTTTTTTTTTTTTGGACAGGCAGAGTGGACAGTGAGAGAGAGAGACAGAGAGAAAGGTCTTCCTTTGCCGTTGGTTCACCCTCCAATGACCGCCGCGGCCAGCGCGCTGCGGCCAGCGCACTGCGCTGATCCGAAGCCAGGAGCCAGGTGCTTCTCCTGGTCTCCCATGGGGTGCAGGGCCCAAGCACTTGGGCCATCCTCCACTGCACTCCCTGGTCACAGCAGAGAGCTGGCCTGGAAGAGGGGCAACCGGGACAGAATCCGGCGCCCCAACTGGGATTAGAACCCGGTTCTAGAGGATTAGCCTGTTGAGCCACGGCGCCGGCCATACGATGATTTTTTGTTTTCATTCCTTTTTCTTTATCTTTTTTTGTGTCAATTGTACCCTTTTTCTTTGTGGTCAGCTCAATCCTTGCATAAAGAATCTTGTAGCTTTATGCTTCTACCTCAAATCCACAGTAACTAAAGTTTAATTGCATACAATAATAGTACATCATTGTTCCTATCCTCCAACAAATGTGTTTTCATCATCAGAGTTTGCTTATTTTTAAACAGTCTGTTAACAAGCTTTTATCTCCTAATTTTTGTTCAGATCGAAGATAAATTTAAGGCACAGGTATTGCAGCACAGTGGCTAAAGCTGCCCTTTGGATCACCTGCATCCCATCTCATAGTTCTGGCTGCTCTGTTTCTAACCCAGCTTCCTTCTCATGCATCCTAAGAGGCAAAAGATGATGTCTCCAGTTATCGGGCCCCTGTAACTCATACGGGAAATTCGAATGGAGCTTCAGGTTTTGGCTCAGCCTTGCCTAACCTCAGCTGTTGTGGATATCTCACACACACACACTTAGCCTTTCACACAGATGAAAAAATAAAGTTTTTAAAGTAAATTGGGGGCATCATTACGTTACATTAATCTGCACATGTCTGTATGTTTACCTTCATGAGGGAATTTTGTTTTTGTGTCTTTGTCTTCCATGTTTTCATTTTCATATGAAAACTGTCCTCAGTTATTTTTGTAAGGCAGCTCTAGAGATACCAAACTTCCCTGTGAAAGACTTCGTCTCTTCTTGTTTTCAAAGGATGATTTTTCCTGTAGTACACTTGAACGCAGGCTTTTATTTTCTCCAAGAATTTTAAATATGCCTTCCTACTCTCTTCCGGACTGCATGGCTTGGTTGAGAAATCTCATTTTTGCACTTTCAATACTCTTTGTGCTTCATGTCAGACAGCTACAAGTTTCCTCAATCTCTTGATTTTCAGACTATGTGAGGTTCCATGAGTGTCATAGGCCAAATCTAAATGATGTCTCTATTCATACTTAGGAAAGCATTCTGTCATTATCTCTTCATATAAGCTTTCTGCCTCTTGCTCTTTCTCAGCTCTTTCTGGGACTTCCAAGTGCATATACTGTTTTCCTTGATCCTGTTCCATAAATTAGGCAGGTTTCTTCATTCTTTCTCTTTTTGTTTCTCTAACTATATAATTCCAACTGATGTGTCTTCAGGTTCACTGTTTGTTTTTTCCTGTTTGGTCAGATCTGATCCTTAAGCTCTCTGTTGAAATTTTCACTTCAGTGCTTGTATTTTTCACCTCTATGATTTCTGTTTGGTCCTTTCATTTCATCATTTCCATATCTCAATTGAACTTCAAATTTTGGTCATGTATTGTGCTGAATTTGTTTAGTTGTGTGTTAGTGTTATTTTATAGCCAACTGAGCTTGTTCAAGATTATTTTCTTAGGTAACTTGTCAGATAATTTGTAGATCTTTATTTCAGATTGTTTCTTAGAAAGTGTGGTATCATGCTTCTTCAATTTTCCATGTTTCTTGTAGTCTTGCATTTATTTCTGCATACCTCTGGAAACATCAGGCACCAGATGAGTGAGATGCAGGGATTTGGGCTGAAAGGCAGGCATACTGGGGTAGTTCATGCACAGGAATATCAACTGAGGTTAGCACTGTCAAAGACTGGGGATCCTCAGCAGTCAAGGCTATGGTTGTCTGTGATGGTGGCAAGGGCTATTTGGGTCTTCAGTAGTGAAGTATACTAGGGTCATCTTACTTTCTCTTCCTCCCGAAGAAGTAGCTGTTGCTCAAAGAATCCCTCTGGACACTGGGTCTGACACACAGCACACTCATGGTGGCAGTGGTGCTGGTGTCCAATGTGAAGGTGCATACAGAACAATTTCAATCCAGGTTCTAGAGTGTGAGCGCACACAAAGTGCCAGTTTGCATGTGGTCTGAAGTGTGGATGTGCCTATCATAGCATAGGAATGGATATCTAGAGCATAGGTACACATCCACCCCACAGAGCCAGGGTATGGAACACAGGAACTCACGTAGTAACTGTGGCTCAGTGCTCTAAGGTACACCTGCTGGGACAGTGACTCCAGCACTGCAACACCAGCATTCCTGATGATGTGGTACGAGATGAACTGTCACTACAGAACCTCCACACATCGAGTTCGGGATGCAGGCAGGCGTGAATACCCTGTGGACCAAGAATCTGGGGCTTGAACTTGGCCACCATGATAATGACTCTGATGCCTGAGGCACTGGTGTAACCCACTGAGGTGGTGGCTCAGTTTTCTGTGTTGTGGCCACTTGTGGAGCAGACTCAGGATTGTTCCTAGCCATTGCCAGAGACTTCAGCTATGCTGATCTCCCCAGAAATCTGGTGGGGTAAAATCAAAGTGATTCCTTCAGGCAGTGTCATAAAAGACTGGGGAATTTCACGCTCATCCTGGTCCACTTTTCTCTTTATAGAGTACTAGAAGTCCAAAGAGTCTCATCTTAGCACTGAGCTGTGGTGGACCACAGTGTGGTGGACTAATGCAGGAAAATGAGCATTCTTCCTACCTTTGCTGTGGAGTTAAGCATCGCCTTCTGGTTCTACTGTGTTTGTGCGGATTCTTTTTTTTTTTTAACTTTTATTTAATGAATATAAATTTCCAAAGTACGGCTTATGGATTACAATAGCTTCCCCCCCACACAATCCTCCCCTCTCCCACTCCCTCTCCCCTTCCATTCACATGAGGATACATTTTCGATTCCCTTTATATACAGAAGATCAGTTTAGCATACATTAAGTAAAGATTTCAACAGTTTGCTCCCACACAGAAACATAAAGTGAAAAATAATCGATGATTTTTTAAATGATGATGAAATCAGATCAGCCCTATTGTCATGTTTAATCCCAGTAAGAGTCAAGTTGGGAATTGATAATTTCTTCTTCTTCTTTTTTTTTTTTTTACAGAAGATCAGTTTAGTATACATTAAGTAAAGCTTTCAACATTTTGCACCCCCATAGAAACACAAAGTGAAATATACTGTTTGAGTACTCGTTATAGCATTAGGTCTCAATGTACAGCACATTAAGGACAGAGATCCTACATGAGGAGTAAGTGCACCGTGACTCCTGTTGTTGACTTTACCAATTGACACTCCTGTTTATGGCATCAGTAATCTCCCTATGCTCCAGTCATGAGTTTCCAAGGCTATGGAAGCCCCTTGAGTTCACCGACTCTTATCTTGTTTAGACAAGGTCATAGTCAAAGTGGAGGTTCTCTCCTCCCTTCAGAGAAAGGTACCTCCTTCTTTGAAGACCTGTTCTTTCCACCGGGATCTCACTCACAGAGATCTTTTGCCAGAGTGTCTTGGCTTTCCATGCCTGAAATACTCTCATGGGCTTTTCAGCCAGATCCAAATGCCTTTAGGGCTGATTCTGAGGCCAGAGTGCTGTTTAGGACATCCACCATTCTATGAGTCTGCTGAGTATCTTGCTTCCCATGTTGGATCACTCTCCCCTTTATTTATTCTATTGGTTAGTATTAGCAGACACTATTCTTGTTTATGTGCTCCCTTTGACTCTTAGTCCTATCATTATGATCAATTGTGAACTGAAATTGATCACTTGGACTAATGAGATGGCATTGGTACATGCCACCTTGATGGGATTGAATTGGAGCAGATTCTTAACGGTACTCATGGGCTCTCCTAGAGCTGCTTTCAATCCTAGATACCTAACTGTGATGTGTGTGTACAGGGACAAGGGCTGATGTC